TTGATGCCTCACGAATGTGGGACATCAAACCATTGCCAGAGTGCTCAAACTGCAAGTGCTCAAACTGCGAGTGCTCAAACTGCAATATATATATGATAGTTTGGAGTTGAAGCTGGTCTAAAATTCTTTTTAAACCAGCTTCAACTCAACGACATACGAGCTGGCGTCTTTTCAATTCTGAAACATGCTAAACCTCTCTCAGCACAGAACTTCACTCGGGGCGAAAAGAATTCACTGTAAATTTTAAGGAGTTGAATCAACTCTAAAAGTGTCATTCTGTCACCGTTTTTCGTGACAGAATAACTATATATATATATATATATATATATATATATATATATATATATATATATATATATATATATATATATATATATATATATATATATATATATATATATATATATATATATATATATATCCCTAATATTTACTCGTGGTAGAAGAGGTAGTGCTCGCATAGCTTTATAAACCAATTATAGGTCTACGTCTCCTTTTGCACTGCAAAAAATCAAATTCTAGTCTAGAATAATATTCTTATTTTTTAGATTATTTTTCTTATTTTAAGTAAATATTTCTTATCAAGAAATATTTCAAGAAAAACAATCTAGTTTTAAGAACAAAAATCTTAAAATAAGAAAATATAACTGGGCAAGAATATTCGAGAGAATTTTTTTCTTATTTTAAGAATAACATTTTTCCATCCTAGAATAATATTCTTATAATTAGAAAAACAATCTTGAAATAAAGTTTAATATTATTTATCGCATGTATCAAAACCTTTCTTTTGGCAACTTTTGCATGGCTAAAACGAGATATGATATTGAATTGAATAAACCTAATTGTAATATTGTATATCTTTCACTTTTTTGTCAAATTTGAAGCTGAACGGCTCTGTCCTGAATTGTCGCAGTTTCAACATGGCGGATATCACAATGAATTTGAATATGCCCAATGAATTGCTGCTATTGAAAAATAACAGTTATATGTGAATTCAAATCATTTGCAACAATCGTCTATCTACGCTTTAATGAAGACGGTATGATCCACCGCAAAAAATGAAGTGTAAATTTACCCAAGATTTTGCGTAAATATCACCGACATGTTATGACATCACGGTTAATGCTGTCAAATGTTATGACATGCGATACGTTAAACGATAAAAATTTTATATTATTGCAATTGGCATATAATTTTTTTAGAAAATATGTCTCATTATTCGCTTATAAGAATTTTCATCATTTTTTTATAATCATTTTTTGGCCAGATTATAAATGCTTCCTATAGTTTCAAGCTAGCGATAGATTGGGAGCGCTTTTTGGTGTATGTATTTTAGAAGACAAGGGCCACGCGCGCAATGAGTTGTGGGATATCGTATATCAAGTATCAAGTGTGATTTACAAATTTTCGACTTTTTCGTTTGAGCATATTTCGCTCAAGAATATCGTGTTTTTTTATCATATTTGGTTCTGGATAAGTGACTCCGAATCCTGCCGAAGGCTTATTGATCTCAGGTATGAAATATTACTGTTTATATCGTATAATTATAACGTACATCGACCGTATTTACTCATTTTATCTTGTGGCTGTTAATATAGCCTGTTGTGGCTGTCTGCTATTGCTAAATTTGAATTTGCGCGCGAGAGGTTTTATATATTGAATTATTTCATTTCAATTCCGTCAAATATTAGTTAAAATAAACAATTCAAATTTTGAATAAACACATAGTAAATACTGGGTTACACTTGCCACTTGGTTGACAAAACTGGAGAAAGCATGTTTGAACCCACATAGTATATTATAAAACAATATGTGAATATGAATAATATTTACTTGCTGATTGCTTCAAGCCTATTATTAGCGAAAACATGAAAATTATTTGAGAGTATTAAACTTACAATTACAATGTTATCTATCTAAATCATAAAATTGTTAACTCAATATATAGAATTGATTATAATATTAGCTTATCAGTTCAGTGCATGGGTAATTCCATGTCAATTCATCCAGAAATTTTTGAAAATGACACCACCCCTCTTGGATTTTATTCAAATTTGGAGGAAATAACAAGCAACATGAGACATGCCAAAATCCAAAATTTCAGACTTGTAGCTTAATTAGTTTCCGAGAAGTCGGACTTTGTATTTTGAGAAATTTGATCAAAAATGGGTGTGGCCCGAGCAAAAGTTCGCGGGTAGCGATTCAGTGAAATAGTAATAAAATCATGGTTATTTGAGCTATTATTATAAAATTGGGGGGGATTACATAATTTATGCTGTAGAATTCAAAACTGATACTAAAAATTACTTACAACCAATAGGAGAGCTGTTATTGCCATGGCAATTAATTTTTTTTTCAAATATGCGTCACGCCACTTTAAGTGTAAATTTGGGAATGTGGCGGACATGATACAGAATTTTTGATAAAACCATGTTAAAGTACACATGTTCATGAGCATTGTAAGGTAGTTTCATCAATAGTTCTCCTAGGCTTCAAAAGTTACAGAAACTTGAAAATATGTACCCAAATTGATGTTTTTACCCTTAAGCAACATTATTATAGATGATAGATGCTGATAATTCATCATTCTGTTCATACAATTTATTAGTTATTATTTAATATTTATACCTATCATATAAGATTGATATCAGAACATCAGGAACTTTTTAGCACAAAAAAGGAAATTTGTTCTAACATTGTGGAAGTACTATGTTTACCATGTGTTTTCCTAATTGTGTTTTAAAAATTTGAATAAAATTTGAACAATTTCTAAGTAGTTTTTAAATTAATATTCATGGATATTGACACCACTTTAAGTCAGTGTGATTTTGGTGAAACTGTTGGAGATGAATGCCATAAGCTTTCGTATACAAGAAAACAAGGTATGGAAAATCTTAGTGATTATTCTGAAGAAGTACAAGAAACATTTCTCATGAGGGCAAGAATTGCTCATCAACAAGATAAAACAAATATGACTATTTGTATGCATCATAGCAAAATGTATGGCAACGTGTTTGAAAGAAAATTCAACAAATGTTGTAATATTTTCAACTCTCATAAAGCAAAGGCAAAAGGCTGCCATATTATCACCCTTCGTTTGGCAAAGCAACTAATTAGCCAAAAAGGGATAGATGTAATACCTGGCTGGCAACTTTGTAGAAATTGTTTTCACAAGGCCAGAAAAGAAGAAGAAAATGACGAGCCTGCAGAAGCAGGTGATGAGATTGACTATGAAATAACAGAATTTGAACGAGATGCAACAAAAGAGGCTGCAAGAGGTGTGATGAACACCAGTTTTGAGGAGCTAGCAGTTTCTCCTATAAAAACACACGGTCTATCAAAGCAAAGAAAAATCAATGAGGCAAAGGGCAAAATAGATCGAGCATGTGCATCAATTGAGGAAAGAGTTGCAGCTGCGATCGATGTTGATTGTGAAGAATTGAAAAGAAAAGACCCTCGTGCAAAAATCCCACCCACCTTACAAGAAAAAGCTGCTGATTTAGATAGATTAACTCATCTTATGAAGGAAAAGCTCAAAATATCTGATTACAAAACCAAAATTCAAATTTTGACACTTACACCTGAGTCATGGTCCCGAAAAAAAGCTGCTAATTTTTTTGAAGTGCCAGAATATACTATTCGTGCTGCTAGAAAATTGAAAGAAGAAAAGGGAATTATATCGGTACCAAATCCAAGACAAGGCAAAACACTTCTGGAAGACACCAAATCACTTGTTGTTAACTTTTTTGAAGATGACGAATTTTCAAGACTTATGCCGGGTAAAAAGGACTACGTTAGTGTCTCAAGAAATGTACATAAACAGCGAAGACTACTCCTCTGTAATTTAAAGGAGTTGTACAGTGCATTTAAAGAAAGATATCCAGATGCAAAGGTTGGTTTTTCGAAATTTTGCAGCCTGAGACCCAAGTGGTGTGTTTCTGTTGGTTCCTCAGGGACTCATT